ATATTATATATATATATAATATATATAAAGTGTATATATATATATATATATAATATACTTTATATATATATAATATATACACTTATATATATATATATATATATATATATATATATATATATATATATATATATATATATATATATAATATACCTTATATATATATATATATATATATATATATATATATATATATATATATATATATAAATATATATATATTAAAACACATTATATTATAAATAAACCATATTTAAAAATAACTTAAAAATAGACTAAAAAATAAAAATAAACTATTTTATGGGACTGAAGGACTTGGCGTAAGTATACAACCTGAAATATTCATTAAAGTCAATGACTAAAAATGTTGATCAATTAAGTACAACTCGTTCTTATTGGTGCCCAACATTCTCAGTCATTGACTTTAATGGATATTTCAGGTTGTGTACTATGTAATGTCCTTCGGTTCCACAAAATAGTTTATTTTTCATTTTTTAGTCCATTTTTAAAATGTTGTTTTTAAAAACGTTTTTATATATATATATTTTTTTATTTACTTTTTAGTCTGCAAAGAAAGTTTATTTACACTAAACTAAAACGTCTAAAATTTGTAGTTTATTATTTTTTTTGTTATTATTTAATTAACGTTTTCTTAACGAATTTCTTTAATTTAAACCAAAGTATGTTTGTTTTAATTACATTTTAAACGATTTCTATTATTATTAACTCGTGTTTGTTTTGCGCAGACACCGATAAAAAAATAATTAACAAACCGACAAGAAAGCAAGTTAAATAAAATGTTATAAAAAACGGTGTGGAATGCAAAATGTTGTGGCACTTGCTTCTATTGATACTCCAACAATTGAAAAAACACTAATAGACTAAAAACAGCAACTTATACTTACTGCAATAAATTCATAGAGGCTTTTTCCATACATGGCCTGAAAAGTTTCTTTGATGTTTGCTAAATCAATTTCTGATCGGGAAACCAAAATTCGAATAAGAGTTTTGTCACTTGTTCCTAAACCCTAAAGAAATATTTTATTTTTCTTAATTTGAATTTGAAAAAAATAGGTCATATAAATTAACTTGTTAACCTAGTTTGCACTCAAGTTTAAAATAAATTTATTGTTTACAAAAAGATAACAAAATGAAATCCTACTTTCATTGCATGATGGAGTCTTTCGGCAAAATAAGCAAACCTGTTTTCAACAGACTTCACTAAAAATACAAATGAAAATGTTTACATATTACAATTTCTGAGAGAATAAGTAAAGTAATAATTTTATTTTTTAATTAGTTAATTAACTAATTAAAATTAATTAAAATTATTTTAACTAACCTATTGCTAGCAGGCCATTTTTAATATCACCAGAGAATTCATTTTCAATGGCTTGTAAAATAGTCTTGTTAGAAATCTAAAAAAGAACTTAACATTCAAGAATTGCTTAAATTTTTTACAATTAATTGCATTCAATAATTTCAAAAAATACCTTTGAATATTCATGAAAAATTTGATGGAGTTGTGGGTAACTTCTTGTTGCAAGTACGGCATTAAATCTGGAAATATAATAAGAAATATAATTAAAAAGTGAAAAAAAATATTGCCAATAGTTTTGCTTTACTTTAATTATGACAAAATTTTCATAAACTTAATTTTCAAAAATAACTATAGGGCCAAATTTTTATGTTTAATGAATATAAAATTCTCATCTTGACATAGTTAAATAAACTATGATATACCTTGACATAGTTTAATAAACTAAAATATACCTTGACTCATCAGTTCCAATTTGTCCTTCACCAGCTTGATAAATGGCCTGCAAAGAACAAAAATTTACGCTTGCAATTAAATTATATCACACTTTTACCAATAATGATAAACAATAACAAACATAAACACTTTTTAAATTAGATACAATATTACATAATGAATAAAAATAGGTTTATTAGAAAGAAACAATGGAGTTGTTTTTAATACTTAGAACGTTACTATTTTTAATACTTAGTAACCTAGTAACAACAATAAAAGGTTTCCTGTAACAACTAATGACAATTAGATAGAACCAAGTAACCATACTAATAAATATTACTATATGTTAAAAACTATAGTAAAAGAAAGCATAGTACATCTGTTTGCTACATGAACCACATAAAAAATAATTTGAATAAAATATGTCACTGGTACTATGTTTATATTTTAGACAAAAACTTTAGAAAATTAAAAGTCTATTTTCTATGCAAAATCTTGAAAATTTTTGTTCTAGTTAAGAGGTAACATAATAAAACTTACTGCTGCATCCTCAGCAGCATGAGCAGCATTTACAGGCTCATCTTCTTTTCGACCTCCCTGGAACAAAATAAACAAAAAATCAAACACAATCAACAAAATCTAAAAACTTTTCTTCACATAATTACAAAATATATTTTATCAAACCAATATATTTTAACATGCTACTATGACAATGTGTTACAACAAGTCATATTTTGAACTGATCATAAATTTTAGTAAAAAGCAAAAACAAATAAAGTTTTAAAATGCATTGCCAGGCAGGCTTAAACAGAAATGATACTAATAAAGGTTTTGTATTTAAAAAAATAAATAAATACCTGAAGCATAGAAACAAGTAATCTCTGAAAATTTCCAGATGTTTCGCTTATTATCTCTTTCTCTAGATCTTCTTTGTATACTGGAAGAAAAAAAAAAAACAGTATAAGTGAAATAAAAATTAAAATATAATAAATTTTATGCTAAAATTATATTTAACAAGCTGAAGTCTAACATAGTTTAAATGCAGCCTTAATAGCATGTATTTGTGCATTGCTCTGTGTGCAAAGTATATCAATCAAAGCGTTTTCATCAGTTCCAAGCCCCTATAAAAAAATATTTTATTAAAAAATAAAAATACTTTACTTGAATTTATTTTTTAGCTGAAAAATAAAATAAAAACAACATCACTTTCTAAAAAAAAAAAATCAGATAAATACTTTTTTAAAAGCAAAATAAAAAATTGTTTTCCAATAAACATTTTTAATAATTTTTATATAACTTAAGAATCACTTTTAATTTTAAACTATTTTTTAACTTAAATAAAAATCTTTATAATGAATATATTTTAGATTTTAAACTATATGAGTAGTATAACTTTTTAAGCAATAATTTCTATATCTCTCAATCTATATTATTCAATAAATTAATACACTGAATTTTTTAAATATATTATTACAAAATAATTGAATTGTTCTAAACAAAAACAGGGAGTTTCAAAAAGGGTTCTGAGTTCAAAGTAAATAAATATTAAACTTTTGGACTCCATTTAAAAAAATTATACAGGACTCTCAAAAAACTAAAATCTGCCAGTTTTAAACATTGATTCCTTATGTATTATTGTAAATAGGAACTTTGCACTTTGCTTGTGTAACAACAGATTTAAGTACTCCTAAAGACTTTTTTATGGCTGTTTAAAAGTTCCTAAGCATTTTTGAGCTCCAGAACTCTAAAACATGAAGTCTTTCTCCTCGGTTTTTAATTTTAAATGATAAAATGATATCATATTATGAATGTGATGCTATGATAGCATAAATATTGGGTATAATAATAATCCTAAAAATACCTTCATAGCAGCATGAAGTTGCTCAGCAAGAAATTCATCAGGTTTCCTTAATAAAGCCAAAGCTGCTGCTTCATAATTACCACTTAATTCACTTTTTAATTCATCTTCTAAATGCTAAAAATTATGCAAAAAAATTAGAAAATGTATAAATTCAAATGAGTTAAATCGTATTATTTTTAGAAATTAAAAACTTAAAAAAACAAACTTTTCCAAAGAGTGTAGTGTAATCAGTTTTAATCTGTTGGCGCTGTGCGTTAGATCGAGTTGCCAGAATATGAGTAATAGATTTTTCATCGGTACCTTACAAATAGTGAGTACAATACGTCATAAGTTGTGAATATAATTATATATATATATATATATATATATATATATATATATATATATATATATATATATATATATATACACACATATATATATATAACATGATTAATTATATTATTATAAATATTTTAGTAAATATATGAATCAAGTAAAAATAAATAATAAATATTAGCCAAATAGAATTTACAAATCAAACTAAATACAAAAATTAAACAGGAAATATAAAAATTATTAATCCAACCGATCCCCTTCATGGCTTTACGCAATGTTTCAGCATCTTCACGTGAGTTAAATGAAGCATGTGGTTTAACTGTTCCTTGAACAACCTTAGAAAAAAAATATATATAAGGTTTGTAAGTTGGCTGCCATGCTAAAAGTTGTTTGCTTTAATAATTTGACTTTTTAAAGTTGGTTTTATTGTGACATACTAAAACCTAATCAAAAGAGTATTAACTATAATAACATGTCAATGGCTTTGCTTTAAAAAAAAAAAACACTTTTTTCCAACCTATCATTAAATATAAAATACACTGCTTTCTATTTCATAAAAGTTTTATATATTAATACATAGCTACACAAATACATAAATCTTTCTTAACTCTAAGCATCAAAATATATCATTAATTATAGTAAAATAAATAAAAATTTCTTACCATTTTTGTTTTTGATTACTGTACGTTTTGTTTTACTAGCAAAAAAAAAAAGGAGAGTTTTAAATTAATTATTTTTTAAAAATAAATCTACTTTATATTTATAATTATATAATTTAGTATGCAAATGAACTTGAATAAAATGACTATAAAGGTACTGATTAAAATGAGGAATAAAAAATTCTAACACAACTGTCACACATGTTTACTTCAACAGTAATAAGTTTGTACAAGAATAAACTTATTAAAAAAAACTTTGATCATTTTATGTTATTAAATGATTTGAATAGAAAGAAAATATTTGAATAGGTACAATTCATTTATTTAGACATTTCTCAGGATGTGTCTATATTGATTGATAAAAAAGCATTCCATTTTAAGAAACCTAAGCAATTAGTTACAATGAACAAATAAAACTTTAAATTCTTTATGTTTTTCTCAATAAAATAGTCTTATTTGAATAGAAGTTTGTTTTGTTTAAAAAAAAACTTTTTTTAAAGTTGTATAAAAAGAAAATATTTAATCATTATAGTTATATTTAAAAGTTTTACATTTAATCATTATAGTTTTATATTTAAAAGTTTTATATTTAATATTAAAAAGTTTCTAAGCAAATTTAAAATTTTATAAGCAAGTTTTGTAACTATGTCACAAAATTAGCTTAGAAACTTTTAAATGTAAATATATATTAAAATAAATAATAACAATAATAATAATAATAATAATAATAATAATAATAATAATAATAATAATAATAATAATAATAATAATAATAACAACAACAACAAACACATATTAATAAGTAGTGCATTAGACACACTAACATCATACTGAATTATTTTGGGAACTTTAGGAAACACACCTACTAAACTGAGGACTTGAATACATTTTTTTAAAAATAAATTCACTCTCAACAAAAGCTGCAAACAATCACTTACCGTTAACCGGGGTGACTCCGGACAATTTTCGAAGAAAATATTAAACTGTTTCATTAAAATCAATACAAAATGGAAATATTTTTGTGGAACGTACCACTGTAATTATAAAGAACGTGAAGAAATTTTGGCTTTCAGCTTTCCAATATGTTATTAGCATAAAAAAACAGTTTAAAAATCAAAAAATCAAAATCGGGAAATGGAGTGACTCCGGACACTTGAAGCTTGAGATTTTAAAAGTTGAAATTTCAACATCAAGAGTTTTAAAATGAATGTATGTACTATGTAAAAAAGCTGCTTAATTAAATTTTTTTAATTTTTAATTAAGCAATTAATTTTTTATTTCAAATAACAAAACAAAAAACAACAACTATTGATAAACTATTTCAAATATACATATAATAATGATACAACTACAATGATTAATTATGAAGAATCAATTACTAATCTTTCTTATTTTGTTTAAATTATTGACAACTGTAAAAGTAAATCATATACAAATCATTATCTTTTAAAAAAATTTAATAAAATTTATAGTTTTGGGCATACAATGCAATCAGTCGACATGGCATTTTCCAAACACTTTGAATGATACCAACGACCACAACGTTCACAACCAGTCCAATCAATTAAAATTTCTTCTTCTTCACTGATTTCATCGTTTTCGTCATTATCATCTTTTCCACAGATGAAACGAAGATCAGTTTCAATATCTTCAACGACATTTAAAACTGCCCCAGATGCAATGTTCAACTTATTGCCCCTGGGTTTTTTTGTTTCACATGCACCACGATGATACATTAGCAAAGTTGTAACCGAATCGTTTAAAAGGGATGCTGTTGATGTACCAGGTTCCTTGTATTCAGGAATTCTTTTTAAAACCTTTATACGGTTTATTGGATAAAGTCCGCATGTAATAAAGCCAGAAACCAAATTCTGACACACTGTGTCTTGCAACTTAAGTGATAAACTTTTTAATAGAGCTGGAAAATGTTCTTTGGGAAAGCATCCAGTTTTTCTGCTTTGTTTTCTCCACTTATATAATACATGTTTCCAACAATGCTTCATTGGACCAAAGACAGATACATCTAATGGCTGCATTAAATGTGTGGCATTTGGTGGCAACATAGCAAAGTAAACATAATGCTCCTTAGCAAGTTTAATAACGTCTGGATTAAAATGAGAGGCCAAGTTATCTCCTAAAAGAAGCTTGGGTCCATTTAAATTCTGAACGTTCTGCAAGAAGTATTTTTCAAACCACTTGGCAAATGTCTCCATATCAAACCAACCTGATTTTGTGCAACTGTATATTGTTCCCTGTGGCCCTCCTGTTACCCAACCTTTATAAACGTTCGATGCTCTATAAACTATCATAGGTGGTTGTAGTACTCCTGAAGCAGAGCCACACCACATAAGAGATATAGAAGTTTTACTATGTTCTTGAACGTTTTCCACTCGTCGTCTTCCTCTTCGAACTAAAACAAACTTTTTTCCAGGATCATCTGAAAGGTTTGTCTCATCGAAGTTAAATATGTTTGAAGGTTGAATACCACCAAGAGATTCATAAGTTCTTTCAAATTCATCAAAAAAATTATTTATCATTTCTACTCCTAACTTTGATCTCGATCGTTTAATATTTGAAGCATTTCTCCCAGAAATATTGTTTCGTTTCATAAAAGAATTTAACCAGTCATTTCCAGGTATCTGCTAATTGAAACTGTTTGACCCATTGCGATTTTTGAGGAAATCAAAAGCCATCATTCTGACTTCTAATCTTCCAATAGGAAAGCCCCAATCGGCAACAGCTTCTAGCATTTGAGCAATGAGTACCTCATCTGCTTTGCTTATAATTGTCTGGCCTCCAACCTTCTTTAAGGTGGGTTTTCTAATGTGATCATGCAATGTTGATTTTTTGACTTTATGCTTATCAGCAGCTTTTCGAATACTCATGCCTTTACTGTGATCTTCTATAGCTTTTTTTATATCTTCTTTAGAGCTTGTTCCATACAACACTTTTAAGTTTAGTTTACGTTTGTAGTTTCGCGCCATCACTAAAAGAAACTGAAGTAGAATAATAAGTAATGCTCTGTCCAGAGTCACCCCGCTGTCCGAAGTCACCCCGGTTGACGGTATTAAGTTAGGAGTAAACAAAAAGCAAAGAAAAAAAAAAAAAAAAAAAAAAAAAAAGCAAGAAATTAATTGACAGGTTAAAAAGACAGAAGAAGTGGGTAAACTTTTTTGGTTTTTTACGCTCAGAAAATTCAATCACCCCATCTTTTTGCAAAACAGTCTCATTCAGAGTTCGTAGCTAAATATTTATATAAAATTCCCTGACTTTTCCCTGAGTTTTTTGAAAAATCAGATAAATTTCCCTGACCATTTTCAACAATTGTTTTATAAAATGTTTAAAATTACTATCTACTGTAATGTAAATGCTAAAATTATACATGCTTTGAATGACAAAACTTAAAAAACTTAGCTATTAGTTAAGTTAGATATTAGTATGAATCTTACCATATATGTTAGTATAGATCTTATTATTAAGGATGAATAAGAATGAACACTAAGAAAAACATAAGTTTCAAAAAAAATTAATGGGTAGCACCAATAAAAACATAATAACTTAATTGTAAAATGAGTAACTTCTCAATCAGAATTCTCTGACTTTTCCAGGACTATCTAAAGAAAAAAAAAATTCCCTGACTTTTTTAGGTTTTCCATGACTTTAGCTAAAATTAACTAATTTTCCAGGTTTTCCAGGTACAGTATGAACCATGTTCATTTAACATAATGAAAAGAATGATCACACTATACTTAGGTAATAAAAACTAAATTATATTTAGTATTTTTATTCTATGATTCAAAAAATAAAAATCCAATCAATAAAATTATGCATTAATTAAAAAATTTTGATCACACCACAGCATAAAAACCAATTGTTTTTCAAATTTTAAACAACTAAGTTAATTCAAATTGAAATTAATATGGAAGTTTTTGCATTAGACAGGTTTTGAATTATTTTTAACAAAAAAGCAGTTTTTTGATTCATTTATTTTTATTCTAACAATTTAAATCCTTCTTTTAAAGATCATATGCTTATCCTTACCTTTGTAACACCTTATGGCACTCCTAGGGTGTCTAATTTTATTATATTGACACCCTGCCCATTATCCTAGGAGAATAGATTAGAGGATCCTCTAAACCAGTTTGGTTTAGATAATACTATTAGCTATTAGTAATAGCAGGTAGTAATATTAGGTACTTATACAAAACTATTTTTATTATCAAGTTGGTGGTAAACGAGAGACTTATGCCGACTTACTAAAATCTACGGTCTATTGGTCCCCGCCTCCTCTAAACTTGGATTGGATGCCTAGCAACTGCCTTGAACCGCAAAATTTAGTTTGCCGCCCAATTATTGTTAAATGAATAAAGTGTTATATTCAAATAATAAAAAGATATTAAAATTTATTTGAAATTATTACAGTAAGAACCATATTATACACTGTTTATACGGTTAGTGTAAAAAAAAATTATTACGGTTGCAGAGAAAGTGTAAAAAGAAGACTTGCTTGTTTTAATTTGAAATAATTTCAAGTTTAAAATACGCCTTAGTTTTAAGTTAAAAACATTATCAAAAGAAAGTAAAAATGAACTTAAATTTATAAAAATAAAAATGTACGCAAGTTGATTTTTTTATATTGTACTAACTATCCTCAATATATTACATTATAAAAATAGTCGAAGCTAAGTTTATTCAAAACACTCACCCGAATCCTAGTTGCGCAAAGCCTTTCCCAGATCAAACGATTTTCATCGTTATTAACTTTTATACGAATTAAAAAAATAAAAAGGTCACGTGCTTAACCGCCTTGTTTTTTAAATAAACAAAACAAAAGTTAGGACGTAGAAAAATTGAGCCCTTTAGAATTACACAATAATCTTTTATGCTTTTGAAATCTTCTTTATTGAATTATCTATTATAAACAATGTTTTGAAATTTTTATGCAATTATCAAAGCAGATAAGAAAAGAGTCTAAAGTATATATCAATTAATCTTGATTTTTTAATGTGAACTTTGTTCGTTTACATACACGTCATTTTT